GTCCACTGGTGGAACCTCTTCTAACCGGTTCGGTAGATTTGATGAACCGGTTCTACCGAATAGGTGCGAACTGGTAGGAACCCACCTCTGTACTGCACTGAAAAAAGTTGGAAGTCACTGCTTTTTTCTTTCTTTCCCTTTTTACTTTGTACCAGTCTTTTCTTCTTTACCTTTCCCTATTGCCTCATTATCTTTGTTGCTATTTGCATTTTATAATATAACTAGCTGATAACCCAGCATTGCCCAGGTACTTATTTATCCCAATCCTGTTTTAGACAGGAATGGCAAAGCCAAGTGGCAACATAAGTGCGGAATGGGTCATCCCTCCTTCCATTAACGTCGACGCAATTCCTGGAGAGGCAATGACAAGAGCAACTTCTCCCTGAACCCTGATTTCAGCGACAATTAAATTAGCTAAAAATGCTTCCCCTGCACCCCCAGAAGTGTAGCTTCTAATGTTGGATTTTCCCCCTTACCAGAGGGAGCCCCCTTGTGGAATACTGTGAAGCTGTTACCATGGCAACTTCACTGTTTTGTACAATAGAAGCAATTTTACAGCAGTACAGTAGAAGCCATTGTAAGGCACAACAGGCTGTATCTTAACAGAACACATGCCCTGAAGGGTATTAGGGGTGTCTTATCCCCACAGTATTTTTTTTTCCAGAGAGTAAATCATTTGTGTACCATATTTGGTTGAAATTGCTCGAGGCATTCCAGAGTTATGCTGGAGCATACACACACAGAGCCATTTAGATAGATAGATAGATAGATAGATAGATAGATAGATAGATAGATAGATAGATAGATAGATAGATAGATAGATAAACTTTAAAAAGTAATGAGGGATGAAACAGAGGCAAACCAATCAGCTGCAGTTCCTACCATTATTCGGACATGTTCTTCCTTCTCAATAGTAATATTATGACCGTACACATTGATACGGATTTGCTGGAGCTTGGAAACACCCGGAATGTCCATCTTGCTGTTCTTCTCTTCAACCTTGAAGGGCTCAAGTTTTGGGTCACTGCCGCAGTACTGTGCAATGTTATATGTGCAAGAGTCGTTAAAATCCACAAAGAGACCATCAAACGTCTGGAAATACTTGGCTGTGGTGCCCACACAGGTCCCCGTGTACGCGTGGATGCAAGTTGGTTGGCCGTGTAAGATTTTGCATACTTCTTTCGTTCTGCACTTGAATGTTCTGCAGGGATCTGAGAGAGGAAAACACAACCCAGCCATACATTACACTGTTGATTAATTCAGAAGATTCACCGCTCCAAGCACTTAGATCTTAGGATAAATTAATGTATGTTAATGGGTGTTGTTTTCCCATTACCTCCCCTTTCTATCCCATTGAAACCCATCTTTGAGACAGCTTTGAATATCATGAATGCAGCACTACTGCAAAAGGGGATATCTCCATTTTGGACTTTGAAATATGTTGATCTAATGAAGTTTGCATGAAAAATATTTCTTGTTTCAACTCTCCCCTAAAAATCCCCCCATGTACCCCCACCCCCCACTGTTTGTATTAGTGTGGGCCTTCAGAGAGAGATGTTGGGAGTGAAAAATTACATCCAAATTGTCATGTGTGAAATCAGCTTTGGGATTCCACAGCAATATTTTCTGGGGGAGGTTGGATAGATTAAATCAATTGTTTTCCCCAAAGTTATCTTCTTCTTTTTTCAACAATGGCCAACTTCTTAAAAGCCTTCAGATACAGTACAAAGTTAATAGACCCATTCCTGGTATATAGTTAATATTACAATGTTTCCCCGTAAATAGGACAGAGTCTTATTTTCATTTTATCGAGCCGAGGTGGCACAGTGGTTAAATGCAGCACTGCAGGCTACTTCAGCTGACTGCAGTTCTGCAGTTCAGCTGTTCAAATCTCNGAAGGAAAAGGAAGGGAGGAAGGAAGGAAGGAGGGGAGAGGAGGGCAAAGGAGGGAAGGCTTTATTTTAAACATTAACTAACCTCTATCCTGGTGCAGTCTCAGACATTCATAGCTGACTCATTCAACACTCTGCCCCTAACGAGCCACGCCCTTCCCTTTCTTTCAGCTTCTCCATCCATCCTTTAGTAATTTTTTTTTACCTGAATTTTGTGTGGATGCTCCTGGCTCAGGCTGAGGGTCATATTGTAGACTTCCAAAGTCACCACTTTGGTGAAGGACACGGCCTTGTTGCCCCGATTGTTGTTTTCTACCCTGACTGAGAACGGGGTGAGGCGGCTGTCCTCGGAGCAGACCCCGGCCATCTCATAAATGCAGCTACCCTGGAAGTCGTACTTCCGCCCGTCAAAGGTGGTGTAGTGAGGGTCTCCAGTTCCAATGCAGGTGGAGTAACCCGACCCTTTGCAGTGGTGCTCGCCGTTGACCGTGGTACATTCTTGATTGGCCTGACAACTGGCTGTCCAGCATTTTATCGGCCCCTGACTGGGGTCACACTTGCAGCGGGAAAGGCACTTCTCGTCTTCCCAGAACTCTTCTCCCGGTTCGTAATGGAGGCCTTTGTAGAGGCAGCCACAGCTGTCCATAGGGACACACTTGCTGTCATGGAGGACGTAGCCGCTGTTACACTGGCAATTTGGTATGCAATTCAGGGTGCAGACAGAGGAGGCGGACGGCTCAGAGCAGGTATCTGGGCAAGCATTCGCACAGGCTTCATAGTGGCTGTTCTCAGGGCAGTTGGGAGCTGTTGGGAGAGTATGGAATATTGGATTGTGATTAATAAACCACACATTTAAATCACAGATTAGCCCAGATGCTGAGAAGCTCTGCAAATGTTGTTTTCAAAGAGGGGGAGGACAAGCATAAGGCTCTACATTTAGGCAAGAAAAATGAAATGCACAGGTACGGTATAGGTGGTACCTTGCTCAATAGTAGTAACTGTGAGAGGGATCTTGGAGTCCTAATGGACAACCATTTAAATATGAGCCAGCAGTGTGCAGCAGCTGCCAAAAAAGCCAACACAGTTCTAGGCTACATAAACAGAGGGATAGAATCAAGATCACGTGAAGAGTTGATACCACTTTATAAATGCCTTGGTAAGGCCACACTTGGAATATTGCATTCAGTTTTGGTCGCCACAATGTAGAAAAGATGTGGAGTCTCTAGAAAGAGTGCAGAGAAGAGCAACCAAGATGATTAGGGGACTGGAGGCTAAAACATATGAAGAACAATTGCAGGAACTGGGTATATCTAGTTTAATGAAAAGAAGGACCAGGGGAGACATGATAGCAGTGTTCCAATATCTCAGGGGTTACTACAAAGAAGAGGGAGTCAAACTATTCTCCAAAGCACCTGAAGGTAAAACAAAAAGCAACAGATGGCAACTAATCAAGGAGAGAAGCAACTTAGAACTGAGAAGAAATTTCCTGACAATTAATCAGTGGAACAGCTTGCCTCCAGAAGTTGTGAATGCCCCAACACTGGAAGTCTTTAAGAAGATGTTGGATAGCCATTTGTCTGAAACGGTATAGGGTTTCCTGCCTAGGCAGGGATTGGACTAGAAGGCCTCCAAGGTCCCTTCCAACTCTGCTATTGTATTGTACTGTATTGTAAGCCTAAGAGAGACATCAGAACAGAAGGAAATTGGTCCACATCCTTAAAGCATCTTTAGGAATATGACCTACAGTTCAGCTGCCAAGCTCTCCCTGGGAGGTGTGGGGGTGTGAAATATAGTAGTCCTTGACTTATGATCACAAGTGAGCCAAAAATTTCCCTTGCTAAGCAATACAGTGAGTTAAGTGAGTTTTGCCCGTTTTACTATCTTTCTTGCCACGCTTGTAAAGGGAACCACTGCAGTTGGTGAGCGAATCATTTGGCCATTAAGCAAAGGTGGTTCCCCCCATTGACTTTGCTTGTTGGAAGTCAGCTGGGAAGGTTACACATGAGGATCACATGAAATAACGCAACTGTCACAAATACATGCCAGTTGTCAAGTGTCCAAATTTTGATCACATGGCCATGAGGATGCTGCAAGGGGTCGTAAGTGTGAAAAATGGTTATACGTCACTTGGTTCAGTGCTGTTGTAACTTTGAACAAGAACAAACTAAACAGAGAGCAATAGCGCTTAGACTTATTTTATTGAATTTGTAGGCCGCCCAATCCCGAAGGACTCCGGGCGGCTTACAGAAATGATATATGCTGCTTCACAGTGCTTTCCAGCCCTGTCTAAGCAGTTTTACAGAGTCAGCCTATTCTCCCCAACAATCTGGGTCCTCATTTTACTGACCTCAAAGGATGAGCCACAGAGGTTAGAGTGCAGTACTGCAGGGTATGAGTGCTGCCTGCCGGCTGCCTGCAATTTGGCAGTTCGAATCCCACCAGGCTCAAGGTTGACTCAGCCTCCCATCCTTCCAAGGTGGGTAAAATGCGGAGCCAGATTGTTGGGGGTCATAGGCTGACTCTGCAAACCGCTTAGGGAGGGTTGTAAAGCACTGTGAAGCAGTATACACTGTATTTTTCGGACTATAAGACACACAGGTATACAAAATGCACCAAGATTTCGAAGAGGTAAGTAAGGAAAAAAAAGTTTTTTGCCTTCCCCCAGACCCCAGCAGCATTCTGCAGGCTTCAGCAGGGCTGGGGTATTGCAAAAACACCCCCCGTTTCTGCTTTGTCCCAACCCTGCTGAATCCTGCAGAGGGCTGCTGGGGACTGAGGGAAGGCACAAAAGCCTCCATTTTTTTGTGAAAAATGGCCCATTTTTCACAAAAATGGGATGTGGGGGTGGGGCTTCGGGAGGCCGAAAATGGCTGTATTCAGTGTATAAAATGCTCCAACATTCCCACGCTCTTTTGGGGAAGGGGGGAAGGTGCATCTTTGAAAAATATGGTAAGTCTAAGTGCTACTGCTATTGCTATGGAAGGCTAAGTCAACCTTGAGCTGATGAGAATCGAACTGTCAAACTGCTGGCTATGGGCAGAGTTAGCCTGCAACACTGCATTCTAACCACTGCACCACCTTGGTTATACGGCAAGGGCTGCCTGTATTTCTTTTCCCAAGGAGTGTAATTAGGTTTGCCAGATGAATTGTAGTTCATATTCGTAAAGATGGCTGCGGAAGGCCTTAAGCCCCTCTGGTTCTTGATTCCCTCCCCTCCAAGCTCGAATCTTGGTCTCCTCAGGAAGATGCTCAGACTCAGACAGCCCCAGTGTCCCAGCTCACAAGAGGAAGGGACCTAGGATCTTAGTCTTGATCCCTCCCTCCCCCCAAGATGAGAATCTGTAATCGTCTACTACCAATACCACATTTCAAGTGTTACAACATCCATCCTCTGTGGCCCTTGATGGGAAAGAGCTTGGGAGCATGGGCAAAGGTGCACTGACAAAAGGAACAGGCAGATAAGGGACAGAACAGCCCTCAGATGGACATTGGGTGGAGCAAGGGACTCACAGACACCTTCCTGATTTTTTTGGATGTCAAGAAAATGGTTCTAAAACTTCCAGATACCTTCATCAATTGGGTCATTTGCGGGGTAGTAAAGTGTGTGTTGACCACAGCCAGTTTTCTTTTTCCATTCTGTAATAAGGATGCCCCGTTCCTCACAAGCTGTGACATAGGCCTCCAGTGCTTTGCACAGCACCTGGATGCTTTTGTTTGCACACAGTCGGTTGATGCAATCTTCGTAGTAGCTGGTGGGATCCACAGTGGAACGACACCCCCAAAAAGGTTCATCTGCAAAATGGTTAATAGCTCCACAAAATATCCAACTGCCATAAAGCCCCTTCTTGTCGTCATCACAAGCCAAGCAGTTTCCTTGACAGGTATCGGAGCAAGCAGGATCTTGATCATCGACTTTCCAGTTACTGGCCCAGGCCATGATGGAGGACACTTGTGTCCCATTGAGATCAACCATGTCATCTGTTGTTACCTCGTTGAAGTTCCCACAGAGCCCACAAGTGGCTCCATAATAGCTGCTGGGGAGAGTCACCACTACAGTCCAGTTGCTGTCAAATGATACCTGAAGGCCAAATTCAGTTGCCACGGTCAGCTGTCTGTTGCTCTGGCTGATTTTGACTTTGCCATGTGCCACCGTGGTAGGGATGTTGACCTCCAGACCACTGACCTAGAAAGAGAAAAGGAAAAGAAACAAGACCTAACTAACATTTCCTAACATCACTTGAATACGAGCCAGGCGTGTGCAGCAGCTGCCCCCAAAAAATCCAATACAGTCCTAGGCTGCCTTAATAGACAGATAGAATCAAGATCACGGGAAGTGTTCATTCCACTTTATAATGTCTTTGTACACCAAACTTGGAATATTGTATCCAGTGTTGGCCATCACAATATAAGAGCCGAGGTGGCCCAGTGGTTAGGGTGCAGTACTGCAGGCCACTTCAGCTGACTGTTATCTGCCGTTCAGCGGTTCTAATCTCACCGGCTCAAGGTTGACTCAGCCTTCCATCCTTCCGAGGTGGGTGAAATGAGGATCCAGACTGTGGGGGCGATATGCTGACTCTGTAAACCGCTTAGAGACGGCTGAAAGCCCTATGAAGCGGTATATAAGTCTAACTGCTATTGCTATTGCTATTGCTATAT